AATGTTGTCAACTGACAGAATCTGCAACTTTTCTGAAAACAATTCATTGTTTAAGTAATTTTTCAAGAATAAATCCCAACCATTACCTTGTTCCAGCTTCTCAGTTGTGATGATCGGATTTTTTTTTTGTCTTATGAGATCTGAGTCACTTACAAAAAATGTCACATTACAAATGTGAAAGATGACATTTTTCACTCATATTAGACAATTTTCACGACTAAATGATTCATCGAGAAAATAATTTATAGATAATAAAAGCAATCATTAGATGCAGTCATCAATTAGTTACTGTACTGTGCAACTATTGTGTAAAATATCCTACCTCTTTATCACTACAAACCTTGTGGGATCAAAAATATTCATGTTAAATGTTTGTTTCCCCAAAATAGATTAGGAAAAAGGCAGGATTCCAGTGGTAAAAAAAGCAACTTTTATTTCATTTCAGACTGACAAAACTGCAGAAGCCAATAGGTTTGACAGCAAAAGATGTTTGGGTGAATCAAACACTTTTTTTTTTTTAAAGCAGAGTGCCGAACTGAAACTGCAGGTTCTTCTGAACTCTATTATATTAAGAGTTAGTGTCACAAAGAAAATAGCCCTAAAATATGAATTACAGCATCGGCCTAAAACTCCAACATTGTCAGGCTCTACAGTCTATGAAATTTTAATCAGCAATGGTTTTAAGTTTACCCACATAGTAACTTACAAAAGAAACCGTTTCTGAAGAGAAACCTACTTTTGTTGTGACACATCAACAATTTATTATGGAACAAAGTATCACAGAGTCAACAGAAAAACAGCACTAAGAATGAGGAGACTGCAAAGAGCCACATAGCTAAATGTACTATATATCTGTTAATGTGTGTCTGTTCCTATTAGCAGTGTCGACATAAACAGCTTGCAGCAAATGTACCTGGAAACACCTCTCTCACAGGACCTACTAAAACAATCCACATCTCCACATGAACACACACAGAACTGTAGCATCCAGTGTGTGCAATGCAAACATCTTTAAAAGAAAGAAGATCTCTCAATTATAAAGTCAATAAAAAAAGCGAGGCTTTATTATTTACTCCCCCAGAAAAGAATCTCAAGGGGGTTTAAAGCTCAATATCTACAAAGAGGTTAATAAAAGGAAGTTTTCATTAAAACAGCTTTCAAACAAATATCTATAATCCACTACAAATTACATAACACTTAAAAAACAAATTGAAAACATGGATTTAAAAAGAAAAGTTCAATGTGTTTGAATGATCCACATTTTCCAAATATGCACCAGTTCAGGGTGACATCGTCACATAATGAAAGACTCCCCAAGAAAGATGAAACACTGTGAAGCTCCCTCATGCCTGTCAACTTTTGGAAATGAATTTAAAAGCAGAGAGGACAAACTGACACGCAGAATTGAGCTGAACTCAGCAATTTTGTCAGAAAGTGTCAAGTATCTAAAACATCCTTTTAAATCCTTAAAACTAAAAATGTCACTGCTTTGGCCAGGGAGCAGAGAAGCTGCTGCACAGCCAGTTGCAATGGCCCAGTTCCTCTTTGATTACACACTAATCTAATATAAAAACTATGAGCTCTGGCACTTGACATGTTTCTACAAAGAGTCATTCATTTTTCAGTGCTCGCGAGTAACTCCCTCAGTGTGGCCCGGATTTGAATTCTTAATATGGCAGTGTAATGCTACTCCAGCGTGTAATTGTGAATCCACTCAGTGAGCCAGAATGATTGTGGCACAGATGTCAGCAGCACCAAGTCCAAAATGCCTCAGCCGAAAGTGAGCATGTACTGTATGTTTGTGCACATGTAAAACTGAAATAGACACAAAGTACAGGAGAGTTGGGGGGGCAAATTGAACGAAAAACAAGAGGGTTTTCTGCATGTGAGAGTACAGCCAGGCTTATGAAGCTTTGGCATAACTGGAGCATGATGCATTAAGGTGTATGCTGCGCTGTATGTAATTAGCCCGTGTAAAACGGTTGCACACTCCCCGGTCTCTGCTATTTACATAATGGCAAATTTCATATCTCTATCACGTTAAAGATTGGATGCAGTCTGTGTGAAATCGCCCTTCCCTCCGCTGGTAAGACAGCAAAACAAGCGCCACTTTAGCAAAGTTTAATTGATAAATGTAAAGCTTGGGAGCTTTTGACTTTAAGCTAAGTGTTGCATGGGATTGGGGTGTTAAGCAAAATGCTGATGTTGGTGGCATTTCACACTGGTTATACTGCATATTCATGTCAGAGGTTTTTGGGATTTTTACTCTAATCAGAAAAATACAGCACATCAAGACAGGCAGGCAGTTTTCCAATGAAACAATGTTGATGAGATAGACGATAAGAGAGCCATTCAAGGGTAGGTTGGTTGCTGTTGCCTAAGATGGCGCATGCATATTCGCACAATGTCCATTCTTGAGTGTGATTATGGCACAGTTGGATCCACTCACAACTGAAAGACAGCTGTGATGAAGTGGATCTCATTAGCAATCCCTCCGTTCAGGATAAAGCCTCAATCTGAACACATAATGAAGGAGGGCTGAGCAGCGCTAGGGACTACCTGGATTATAGTTTGACTTTGAGGAGCAAAGATAGCAAATAACACTACACCTAAAAAGATACTTAAAACAAGATAGTTAAAACAAAACCACAAGATTTCTGACAAATTTGAAAATCTATACTGATTATTTTTTTGCACATAGAAATAAAAACAATTTTCACTGTTGGTTTTCAGAAAATGTATACATAACATCATATGAATACATATGGGATTTCCATATAAATGGCCGTCTTCTTAGCCCAGATCTCTATCTCTTTATTCTGCAGCCAAGAGATGAAGCCTTCCTTCATTTATCTTTAATTGGATTTCCAATATAAACTTGTTATCCTTCTTCAGAGGTCCCTTTATGTCTCCCTCCTTGCACTCAACTTTCTGGGCGTGACATTAGAAGCTTGCTCGCCTGCTACATTATTCATCGAACCGACCCACACATGCACAGCCAATAAAATGTAACAAAACTAGAATGAATATCCTCTCAAAGATTCACTCTGCTTTTTCTTGATTAATTTCCCGCTCCGCTTGATTCATTTTAATTCCTTCCCACAATAACTTTAAAAAAGGGGTTTAGAGATTAAAGCATAACAATGGTGGGTAGGACCAAAATATCTGTTTCAAACCAGTTACACAATATTAACATCATTCACCAACCTCTGCTATCCTATCTAAACACTCCTGACAAGACATCATCATTTAAACCATTCTTGGAAAGTCCTACTGCTATAAATTATACAGTTATAACAGTTATTGGATTTGAATATTTGTATTTGGTAAAATGTATTCTGCAAAGAGTTTAACACTGAACTAATCTGTTCATCTTTTTGGGTGCAGTTTGATCAGATTTGATTGACAGTGACCAGACAACCCACCCACTGTCCTCAGATTCAAATGTTTACTGAACTGTGATTGTTGCACGAGAGTATTTGACAGTATGTGATGTTTAGATTTAAAATATCTTGTGAAGTAAACTTACTTATCTCAGCAAGCACTTTGGTAGGTTACTGGTGACACAGATGTGTCAGAGCCATTTTAAACATGAGATATAATTGATTTTAAAAGATAGAAATATTTGTTGCTGCCACACACAACTGGGTAGTTAACTGCCTCTGTGTACGTTAGGCTCCTTATATTTGATCTTAGCACACTTAAAAAATAAATAGAGGCAGTGTGGTGTTTGATATCAGATACTATTGTAAAAGTATTTCAGTGAGGATTTGCCCGATAAAGACCTGGTTCAGTGTGACACATTTCTGGAACTATATTGCAGTCTCTGCTTTCCCTGAGACATCATTATTTATCAGTGCCGTACTTTCAGCTCCATGTGATATCTGTAACCCCAAGAGAGAAGAAAGCAGCCATGGGAGAAAAAGAAATTAGCATTTAAAAAAGAAAAAAACAATTAATAAGTGCTTCAATCCTCCCACTCTTCAGCCCATGCTTGGCTGTGGATACGTCAACTCACCTAACCCCCATCAGGGCCTGTGTGTGGGTGAGCTACGCTGGCACAGGCTAAGAGTGAGCCAGCCAGAGATCCTCGGCTCTAACAGCTTGGCAGAGAGGTAATCGAGGCCTTTCTATGCACTCGCCATCAGACAGCACTGAGTATTGAAGTGTGTGGGCGAGTGGAGGCAGGCGAGGCGGCTGAACGGCCGCCGGAGCCGAGATAACAAGGGAAATTAGCAACCTGAATGCAGGTTCTCGGAGAGTCAAATTAAATCATGCCTTAGACGATTGAGATGAAGACGTGGCAGCGTATCCAGATAGAACTCAACAAATTTAACCAGCAAAGGATTCTTTTATTGTCTTAAAAAAACGCGACCAACAGTAACAGTACATCCAACTGTGCCTTTTAGATGCTTTAGTTGAAATCAAAAGCAACACAGACGACAATTCAGATAAATCTTAAAGGGTAATTCCAGGTTCTTCTTTTTGTAGTAAAGGTTTCAGTCAAATGTTTCTGATAGAAAAATTAAAAGGCAGCTATATAATTAATATCCAAACTGCCTCCAAATGGAATGGTTCAGATCTTTTCTGCCTGTGATATCTTAAACCCCTCGCCTCAGGCTGCATGTTTCCCTCGTCAGAATGTTTAATTTTAACACTTTTTTGAGGCCTGAAAAAGCAGAGATAATCCTGAAAAAGCAAACATCATTTCATGTAGTAGAATCTTTTTTTCCTTCCTTTTTCATACCCCAGTAATCATCTCACAACCCTTTAGATTAATCGTGCAGCATCTTGTGGGGGGTCATGCACCTCAGGTTGGAAAACCACTGGTTTAGCTAAAATGTCAGCTTGTTTACAACCTGTCCGATTGTCTGATCATTTGTGTTTCTTGCCCCAACCAACACACATGGTTATTTAAAATAACACCCATAACTTGAAACAAACTAGAAATATCTTTTGAAAGATGTCCTTGATGTCAGCAGCTGAATGTTTTCACTTACTGCATGTCTCCTCTGCCTCATCAGAGCCATCGGGACACTCTGGTTCCCCGTCGCATCGCCAACGTCCCGGGACACACTGGCCATTTAAGCAGGCGAACTCTGCGGGGGCGCACGTCTTCCTGGCTGCTCAGAGAGAGAGAGAAAGAGAGAAACAAAGACAAAATAACAGTGAGAATTGGAAGTGTGAGGACAGTTGGACAGGGTGAGAGCATGGTCAGTCTGCAGTACGACTTAATCTCTGTCATGAAACTGGTCACATTATCTGAATCCCAGCAATCATCCCTCTCATCAGAGGAGATCAGGCTCATCATCGCTCACATTATTCCAAAGCAGCCCTCTCCATCGCTCTCTCCCCTGATATCCTTCGCTAATTATCTTCACTTCCCTATTTTCTTGACACTTATTCATTGTGCTGTCTCCCCCTCCCCTCCCTCCATCTGCTGGTCTCCAAAAGTCTAATCTCTCCTTCAGGTTTCCCATCACAGAGCAGTGAAATGGATGCTGATTGCTGAACACTGCAAGCTCGGCAAGGTTAAACCTTTTACCTTAAACCTGTTTATCGCAGAGCTACATTCCAGCACGACCACAGGCTGATAAACATGTCAAGCGTGCTGAGTACTTGAAATCAAAAACCTGTCAGAAAAGGCCTGTTTAAGCATTTAAGAGCAAACCGAGTGATCAAAACTTTTACGCAACAGCCTAGAGCTTACCACGGTTGCTAACCTGCTGTGTTTAAAGAGAAACATATGCTTCACACACGAAAAACACATTGTCCACCTGTAGCAACTGGCCTGCAAGTTCGGCCAGAGAGCCGGAAGCAGACAGAGGTCAGAGCCATTCAATTTCCTCAGCCTGCTACTCCAGGAGGACCTGTGGTACAGTCTAATAAATCACTGGCTAAAAGGCCCTCAGCTGAGCTCTCTGGTGTTGTTACACAGCCGCAACTGTTCCTAAGCTGGCCCGATCTTGGCTCTGATGCTTCAAATTAGATAGAGCGTTTAGAGATGTGCAGGGAGCTTAAGCTTAGCTGAGGGGCTGCAAGGAAAGAGAAGCAGGCAGTGATTTTTCAGGAGTCTTTCTTTGCTGCACTCACACTAATCTAACTCTGCTCTCACTTCTCCAACTCCTGCTTTCCTGACCTTGGTATAAAAAGGGCAAAAAAGTGTAAGGATGAGTAGTATTAGGTGGAACATAGTGGAGGAGTTATACTTCATCTTTAGTAAGGTAGTTAGTGACAGAACTTTAAATGTATACCTCCCCCTGAGCATGTTTAACTCATTCCTTATAAACTCCTGTCAAGGTGGAATAGATTAAAAATGATCTAATGACAGAAGAGCAGGAAGAAAGAGTTTCCTGTGACAGACAACATCCCTTTATGTTTGATGACACTGACATGAAGGTTGTCAGTGTGCTTGTTAAATATCCTCAGAAACTCCTACACCTTTCCGACGTCACAGCATTACTGGCCAGCACTGCGGTGGTGAGAAAGAAGCATTAAACTTCTCTCTCTAGCTCTCTTTTTACACAACTATTTCTGTCACTTTCATTTGAATAACCGAGGTTAACGCTATGAATGTCTAACAGGAGAGACTGCTGTGCCGCTATCCCCACATTTAAACAATTATTGCGTCTTCCCCTCTCTATGATGACCGGATCTTCACCCCACCTTCCAGTTTGGCCATTTGAAACAATTATAAACACTTTGACGCATCGTATGAACGTCATGAGTCTTACTTTGACTAAAAAAGGGCACATGGTTTCAAGCAGCATTCCCTTAAGAAAGGCACTCTGCTGGCCCCACTAGTCACAGGGGGGTTTCCAGAGACTTTTGTTAATGCAGTTATTATTTATGACCATATTTCTATGTGATCCAGCTATAAATTATTTAAAAAATACATGATTGTGGGATTATTAAAGAGGTAACAGATGCACGTTGTGTCATATGTTAGCTAGTTATATGATAGCATATATTTTTGAAAAGTGAGGGGGACTGTGGGGGACATCCAGCTATAGACCCCTTTTCTGTGTCACCCTTCTGTCTGGTTTTCTCTGGCTGTCTTTCAACACACATAAAATCCCACTGAAACCTAATTAGCACATTTACAGTATGGCTCACTTAAGCTTTATCTATGATGTGATTGTAAGTCTTGTTACTGCCGTCCAACAGCTACAGTTCAGGATAGCCTGACATCGAGAAGCACTCAGATTAGAGACTGCTTGTCTCTAATTCTAAATCTTGTTTAATTGCCCCATTCCCAATTATCTCCTGTGTCAGAGTGGCAAAGTCAAAGCGATAACGGCTCATCTTGGCTTGTTGACAGTATCAAAAGAAAATTATGAAATGTCTAATAGTGTCGCTCTAATAGGGACCTGTGTTTCAGTGGTAAATGTGTTTTCAGCCTGTAACCACAATCAGCGACCCCTGTTTCATTTCACTTCAAAAACGTCAATTAACATTCTTTCTCGCCTTTTACGCAAGACGTAATGCACTGACCCCATTAAACTACTGAGACAAACATTCCCTCTCCTGCCTTTGTTCCTCCACATCTCCTCTTTCTCTAAACCCCAAGCCTCTAAGTTTGGCGCTACAAAAAAACCCAAACATATTTTTGACTGTTATTGTTCTTAGATCACATATGGCGTAGGTTTTCCGGAGTGCAGCTGAAGTGCCACTTCTGTCCTCATTAGAGAGCAGGAATGTGGGCCTTTGTTAAAGGTGAAGATGGATGATTATGGGGCAAAAGAGCATTGTGACATCCTTTTAACCAACACCTCCCTCAAGTGTATAAACTCATTAGTGGTATGCTCACATTATAAAAAAACAAATTCTGGTGTTTCCTGAAACACACACGCATTCGCATAACGCATGCATATTTTCAAAACCTATTTATCACCAATGTAGGTAGGTGTGACGGTGGAAGAGAGCGAGAGACACACGCACACAGAGACCCTGAGGCATAACACCAGGTTTAAAGGAAACAGAATAATTAGATTCATAACAGCCTACAAATCCTGGAAGATTCTGAAAATTCTTATTCAATTAATTAATCTGACTCCCATGAGAAGAGCAAAAAGAGAGCTGAGGGTAGAATTGAGAACCTTAGGAAAGACAGTTTATGACGGTGCTTAAGACTTTATTTGACTGAACAACAAAGACCTTGAAAATCTCGTGTTGATCCAGTACGTGGCCTCTGCAGGTCAGATGTGTCCACGACGTGCAGTCTCTCTGTGGGAGTCTGAGCTTCTTACCCAATCCAACTGAGCTTGCTACTCATTTCAGTGAAGGTCTACAGGGGCCATGGTTCACTTGGCAATAATTACCTAGGCCAGCTCATGCCATCTGCTTGGAATGACTTTCTGTTTTAATTAGAGGAGGTTTTAAAATGTAAGGCCCATGTGAGGGTGGGCTGAAGGGGAAAGTGACGGGAGATTAAGAAGAAGACAAGCCTTTAGATAGAATGTGGAGAAATAACAGAAGTGAGTAAGAGCAGCAGCGATGGAGAGTGACATACATAGTAATAATGCTTTATGGAATCCTAATGGAAACTGTGAATCTGAATAAAAACAGGCAATATTACTGTAGATGGCAGGGATAGCACTTAGTGAACATTAATCCCTATGACATGCACTGCAAACATGTAAACCCACTCCCTCTCTCACACATATGCACACACTGTGTCTACCTGTTTGACTATAAATGGTAGACTTTTACACAGAGAAACAGCTCCGGTGTATCTAAGATAAATCTAAGAAAAAACAAAAACAATAGCAATTCAGTGTTGCGTGAGTCACCTATCATGAGCATTACAAATGGGATGTGACACAGACAGAATGAGGGCCCTGCACAGGGGAGTTCACCCAGCCATGTTATGTCTCCTGGAGGAGGTACAGTGGGAAGGAGCTCCACGCTTCGACAACCCCACCTGGAGCCTTCTCCTCTGGGGCCGATGTTGTCAACATTTCACTGCTTCTAATCCTTTTCATCTTTCTTAAACGCAATTCATGCGGATGTGCATGGTAGACCAATATACAGTATGGGTTTGCCATTACATTAGTGTTGAGCTTTATATGATAATCAGATATAGGGACGTCTGTTTGTTCACTGATATAGGATTTCTCTCAGCAGCTTAAGGGGAGTGGAAAAACTATAATGAAATCTGCTTTATCTTGCTTTCAGGAGTTGCTGACCAGCTTTTAACATTTTTGACAGTCCGCCACTTTGGCCAGGAAGTGTTTTTCCCCCTATTTCAAATTTTTCTTTAAATGATATCCTCAATATTACTTAACACAGGAACATGGGACTCTCCCAATTCATGTAACAATCAGATAGGTTTATGTAATGGCCACCAGTTTTAATTAGTTCAGCTTTGTTTCTGAGAAATCCTGGTAAATTTTGCATTGTGGACAGCTTAAAAAAAAAACATGGTACCAAAGTTGCTGAATTAATTTAAAGTGAATCCAAAAGTAAATTGGTTTAGACTACAGATTGTACCATCAGTTTTCTCCACCTCATTAACGTTGAGTTTATGCTAATCAGCATGCTAAACTGAGATAGTTAACATAATAAACATTATACCTGCCAACCATCAGCATGTTAGCATAGTTATTGTGCGCCTGTTAGCATGCTGACATAAGCATTTAGCCTAAAGCACTGCTTACAATGCTTTAAACATACTCCTAGTCATGTTAAAATCATGGTTCATCATCATGATTTTCAGTATGATATAATAGGCTATTTTGAGAGTGTTTCTTGCCTCAAAATAATCAAAGGTATTAAATATTGGTACAAAATACCAACTACAGGAAGCATTAAAAATTCAACTTGGTGAAACCTTGTGTGGATATAAGGCTGCTGGATATAATTCTTAATACATTCTGTCAAAAACTGAGCTCACTTAATCATTCAGTGATGTTCAAGAGCAGAGAAGCAGACAGCTTTCAGTCATCTGACATTCTCAGACACACACACACACACACACACACACACACACACACACACACACACACACACACACACACACACACACACACACACACACACACACTAACCCCTTGAAGAAACTTTTTTTTTTACCATGAAGGATATTAATGACAGCTTTTTCCATTTGGAGGCCACGAGAAGC